GTCTTTTACTATATGTCCTTAAAAATATAAAAATGTTATAGAGTTAGCTACCCTTAATTTCAGCATTCTGTCCAGTCCATTAGCAAAAGAAGTTCAGCGGTGACTCCACACCCACCCTGAGTCACACATCTCCCACCTTACCATTCTGCCCTACTCTCTGCCTGCCATCCTGTCCCTGCCCCTCTCACATGCCAGTCCAGCCCTAAGCTCTGGGCTCCATGTCACCAGGTCCTCTCATTCTCCTGCATCCTTTCAGCAGCATACAAAAATTCTCTGGCATTTTTCACTTCATTTCAAAATAAAAACAAAAATAAAATTCAGCAGGGTATGGTGGCGCTCACCTGGAATCCTATCACTTAGGGAGGCTGAGACAAGAAGATTGCAAGTTTCAGTCCTGCCTGTGCAGTGGCAAAGGCTGGGGGCATCAGTCAGTAGTAGAGCCCCTGCCTAGCATGCTCTCTTGGTTACTTTTCTCCTGTTGTTGAGACAAAATACCTGACCCGAAAATTATGGATAGAAAGGTTTATTTAGCACACAGTGTATTTAGCTTACAGAACTTTCAGTCCATGCTTGGCTGGTTCCAAGTGTCTTAGTTACTTTTCTCTCGTTGCTGGGAAAAAATACCTGACGCCCAAAATGAAGGAAGGAAAGGTTTATTTAGCTTACAATTTGTGGAGGTTTCAGTCCATCAGGTCAGCTCTGAGGCAGAGTGGCACGTAGCAGAGAGCAAACGATCATGGTGGCAGAACACAGCAAAAACAGCATAAGAGAGGAGTGGCAGAGAAGAGCAAGCCTCTTGCCTTTCCTTATATTGTAAACAGGCTGCCCCCACCCAGGGTGCATGTAGCATTCACATAATCTGCATGCCCTCCTCTTCCACAGGCTCAGGATGAATATAAAGTAATCCTCCTGACTCCCCGCTGAGTCTTTTAGCCAAACTCCTAGACTCCCCAAGGTGACACAGTATATCAATCATAGCACCAAGGCAGAGGGGCACATGGCAGAGGGCAACAGTCCATGGCGGTGAAAAACAGCAAAAGCAACAACAGCAAAAAGGGAGGAGAAGCAGCAGAGAGCAAGTTTCTTTCCTTCCCTTATATTGTATGAAGGCTACTCACCCTAGTGTAGGTGTAGCACTCAAGCCCAAAATCCCAGTATTGGATCGTGAGTCAATCATAAGCTCTAGAAGCCCACCCCATGACTGCATGAGGCTTTGGGGTGACATCTAGACACAAACCATGAAATGCACAATGCCCACATTTGGTCCCTAGCATAAAGGAGGAAGGAGAAGACGAACAGAGGAGAAAAGAGCGATTAAGTGAAGAACACTGAATGAAAAGAAAATAAATCCATTACCTCATGGTGATGCTCTTAGAAAAGGGGAAACAAACAACCATGACCACTGAAGGTTATGATGGCACCAACTCTTTATTCTGAAAAGTGATTTTTGTTCAAATTTTCTTTTTTATTAGTACATGTTTGTAGTACATAATGATCATGTGGCTCATGGGGAAATGGTCCAAGTACATAATACATCTTTTTAGCCCCTTTCCCTCCCATGAAAGGTGGTGATTGACGAAAAGGGGGGAAAGAGTCTGTCTTTCCTTGAGGAACTGCATCTCAGCATCACCAATGAACGCTGAGGATGGGAAAGTCTTCCTTATGGAAAATCCCAGCCAAAGACTGAAGAAGGGATCAAGGAACTTGGAAATCCGCATTTCATTAGAGTTGAAATGAAACAATTGATGCAGACAGCAAATATCCAAGGATACTGAAACCACAGGGGGAAATATTGCCAAACGGAGCAGTCACAGGATGCCAAAGTGTCATCCGTGGATCGATCTGATGGGCGTGAAAACAAGAAGCAACCCGGAATGTGGAGGAATCAGGCTGTCACTCCCCAGCCGCCCCATCATGATGGAACATGGCATTGGCCATAATCTTACAAAAAATGTACCAGAAATTCTTACCACTAAGAGCAGGAGCACAAACTCAGCCCAAGGACATGGGCTGTGGTGGGCCCTGTGCAGGGTCTGACAGGAAGAATCGGACCCATGTGGACAGGTCAGGGAGCAGGGCATGGAAAAGAGAGCCTGTACTGCCTGTCAGCACTGTCGGGGACTGCACCCCACATTCCCTCCCACATCAGATCAGGTTCCAGTTTGTGGCCCATTAGGCTCTGCACAATGTCTTCTGCTGTGGGGAGGGGGACAGTGGACTGGTCTCACTTTCAGGCCTCCCTGATACTCAGACATCACCGCTTCTGCTGCCTGGGACCCTGGCTCAGCTCACTGATGGCACATGGGCCCCAGAGAGCTGCAAACAGTGTTCCAGCTCCTTGAGCTCCATCTTCTGCATGACGTCCACCAAATGAAGGCAGAACAGGTCCTCTTCTCAGGCCCCTCTTCCTCGCCCCCTCTTCCCAGGCCAGCAGGACAGGACACTCACCTGCACTCTGACATGGCCTCTTCTCCGGCTTGGTGGCTCTCCCCAGACACACAGTCATCCTCCCTCCGGGAGCCAGGGTCCCCGTCTCAGACTGTCAGTCAGGGCTATCGATCGGGCAAGCCGGGCACTGGCACTGCTGCTTCTGCTCCTTCAGCTGCCAATGCAGCCAAGTGAGCTCTTCCAAGGCACTGGCAAAAGTTTCATTAAAAATGCTGCCTGTAGGAAGTGAGTGTGACTTTGTGGGAGGACTGCTTAGGACAAGCTGGGGCAGAGAGCAGAAAGAAGACCCCTGTCTGTTGCCTGGCAACTGTTGGTCCTAAAGGGATGGTGTCTGACTGCGACGCCCCAGGGAAGGTGTGGGCTCCAGGGAAATCAGAGGGTGGGGAAAACAAAGTATTGGAGTATCCAAAGGGACCACAAATGGAGGCAGGGAAGGTGGCCTAGAGAAAGGACAAAGTCCACTCCAACTTTCCCTGGCCTCTGGGCTGTCCATGTCTCTGGGATGGTCCTGTTGGCTCATGCTGGGCATGCCTTTCCCGTCCTTCACCTTCTATTGGGAGCAGGATGATCCCCTCAGCCCCACAGGATCAGCACCAGAACCCCTCCACCCCAACCCATACCCCTTGGGAGAGGATGACCAGTCCAGCACTCTAAAGGTCTGTCTGTCACCAAGAGTCCTCCTCAGGCCCCACTCTGCCCTGGGCACCTCCACTCACCTTGCCAACGCAGAGTGAGGACGCTCAGCTGGGGCTGACTGCTGATTCTGCTGCTCAGTGACTTCTGGGTGCTGCTGTGGGTAGGATGAGAACATGAGAAGGCACAGAGGTGGCCAGGTGACCTCTGCAGGGCCCTGGACAGCTCCATTACCTGGGTCTCTGCAGCCCCTGACAAGCTGGCCCAGGGCCATCTTGCCCTGCATCTCCTCACGTTGCCAAAGGTGGGGCAGGATCTGGTCACTTTGCTGCTGCAGACCCTGGGACCCTGGTTCTTCTCCGCCACCTGTGAAAGATGCTGGGCTGAGGCTAGGGATGCTTGCTGCTTCTTGAGCGAGCAGATAAATGGAGAGAGGGAACACAGAGGCTCATGGGAAGTGGTTTGCACTGACCCCTCAGTCTGATGACTGCTGCTCCAATAGGACACATTCACTTGCTTTGATCAATGGGACTGGGGCCACTGGGTGCATGACGATTCTGTTTAGAAAGAAATGTATGAGGTGGTGATTTGACTTCCATAAGAAGGAGCAAGATGAGCCAAGCAGATTCTGATGAAATTCCACTACCCTAGACCTCAAGGAAAAGCCTCACTGTGTCCTCCCCATCCCAGTACCCAGCAATAACACACAGATCTAGGGACCAAGTTCATTAAAGAGTGGAAAAGAGACTCTATAGAGGGCACAGTTCTTTGAGAAGGAAGATGGGGCAAGCACAGGGGAAGACGGCAGGCAAAAGGAGAAAGACACAAGCCTGAAGGGATGCCACTAGTGAGAGCAGCTCCTGGGGAAGGGACAGCACCAGGTGACACGGTGTCAACAGAAGAGGTAGTGCAGGAGCAATTGGTCTTGTGATCCTGCACGGAAGAGAGTAGGTATAAAGGGGCTAAGAGGGAAAGAAGATGCCTAAGTGCCAGAGTCACAAAGGGGCAGAGCAGGCAGGACAGTTTGGCTGCCCTCAGAAGACATCACACGTGCTGGAGACAATGGGAGTGAGGATGAGGTTCACCCAGGCACCAGCCAACAGGCCTGAATTTCAGAGGTCCAAAGCTCACAGCAAGGGCTGACAGCCTCCTTCCTGAGACCTGATGATCTTGCTGAGGAAAAGACCACAGCCACAGCAGGCAGCAAGAAGGTGCACAGAAGTGAAGGAGGCACTGTTCCTCAGGGAGCCACTCTGCTGCACTCACCCTGACTCTCCCCTTCACTTTAAAACCAGACTCCCTCATAAGGGATCACTGGGACACAAGGGCTGCAGCTAAAAATCAAGTTTGAAAGACCCTGAGGCCCAGGGGAGGAAGTGATTTTCTTGATATCACCCTGTAAGCTAATGGCAAAGAGGACACAAAACATCTCCTAATCCTGGCTCTTGGGGTTCTCCTCACACACCTTGGGGGCTTTTGGAGAGCCTGAAGATCAGTGGCTGCTCTCACTAGCTGGCTTCTGTGGCTGAGGAAAAACAAATAGCAACCATCATTTACAGAATGTTTCCACCAGTCCATAGTGAATTAACATAAAAGCAGTTCATTTGAACTTCACAAGTGCACATA